TGGTAACCGCTGCACAGATTTCTTCCAAACTTGGCACAGTTGTTGGCCTTGACACAGCATACTAAATGGCCGAAAATTTTAAAATTCGGACAATAACCACGCCCACATCCCATATAACGGTAATTTTCGGAAATACGAAAACTGCGATATTTTAGTAACTACTGTAAATTATTCACTCAAAATTGATATCTACAACAATTTTTAGACGAAAAATAAGAATATTATAAATTTTTGGAAAACGGGCGTAGCCACCCCACTTATGGTTACATGTGTATATCTTGGTAACCGCTGCACCAATTTCTTCCAATCTTGGCACAGTTTTGTGCCTTGGTACAGCATACTAAATGGCCGGAAATTTAAGAAATCGGACAATAACCACGCCCACATCCCATATAACGGTAATTTAGAGAATACAAAATATTCGATAAATCAGTAAATATTAAAGCTAATTTATTAAAAATTGATGCTTGCAACAATTCTTTACCTAGAAGAACGTTTATGGTAAAATTTTGGAAAATGGGCGTGGCACCGCCCACTTATGATCACATATATGTATATCGGTAACCGTTATACCAATTTGTACCAAACTCGGTATTTTTATTGTGCTTGTCACATAAAACCAAAACGTTGAAAATTATTGAAATCGGACCAAAATGACGGCCGCTTTTTATATAACGGTAAATTTCAGAAATGCTTGGAACTTCAATAATTCGTAATTTAAGGACTCTAATTTACTCAAAATCTATACACCCCGGCTTACCATCTGGCGGTAGCTTTCGGAAAGGTGAAAAAACATATATTTAATACTTGCGCCGGGTATTTAATGTTCGGCTCCGCCCGAACTTAGACTTTCTTACTTTTTTTTATGCTTAAGTTGTTTATGTTTTTGTTCAAAAAAATTGTTATTGTATTGAAATAAATAACATTTATGAATTGAAAATCGTATTCAGAGTTTTTTCCAACGAAGTCTTTTTCTATTTTGCATGTTTAACTGCCATGTTTGATAAATGTCGAAA